CTGGAGGCTAGCAGCAAGGACATGGCCAATTCTAGCTCCTGGGATCTATTCCAGCCAGTATGCTTTATCTGGATCTCCCCAGCGGTGGGGGAGGGATCAGGCTTGCTGTATCCAGGACACAGGTCAGCAAGGGAGTTATTACACACTGGCACAAGGCCCATTTTCCTCTGCATTCAAAGATACTGCTGAGGGTAAGTGGTGGGACCACACCTACGGTGCATCTTACAAGGGTACATGTGAAATGTACTAGGTGTAGAATATAAATGTCTTAATACAATAAGTAAGAAAATGCCATGAAGGCTATGTCAACCAGTTTGATGAAAATATTTCAAATTGTACATAAACCCAGCACATTGTACCCCATGATTGCATTGATGTACACAGCTATGATTTAATTTAAAAAAAAAAAGATACTGCTATTGCCATACCTGGGCTGGACTGGAAACCTTGAGTTGTATTATGGCTACCACCCTTGATTTGTGTCAATAACTCCTTTCTTCCCTCTGATCCTTTCTTACTTCCCCAAATGACTCATCTATCATAGGTAGTCAATAAATGCCTAAGAATGAATGAACAGGAGTCTAGACTGGCCCAAGTTGGGATCTAGGACTTTGATGACAACTTTTACTAGTTAAACTAAAACATTCCCATAAAAGAAGTGGCCTGTGCCCATGAACCAGAACTTGTCCGTGGGGCTCTTCCTGGATGCATGTCAATCCTTACAGTGAGGTCTGCTTTATATGTCCTCATCCACCACCATTCAATATGTATGTTCCCAAGATCTCCTGCTCCAGTACCAACCTCACCTCAGCACATTTTTTCCTGGTGTGCCTTCTAAAACAAGGTATGCAGGAGATGCCCTAGAGGAAGCTGACAGTCTACTAGAGCAGTGGTCCCTAACTTTTTTGGCACCAGGAATCAATTTCTTGGAAGAAAATTTTTCCAGGGATTCAGAGAGGGGTGCATTCAATTCTTAGAAGGAGCTTGTAACCTAGATCCCTCATGTGTGCTGTTTATACTTAAGAATCTCTTGTGAAAATCTAATGCCCTGACTGATCTGATAGGAGTCGGAGCTCAGGCTGTGACGTGAGCTATGGGGAGTGGCTGAGAACACAGATGAGCTTCACTCACTCACCACCACTCACTTCTGCTGTGCAGCCCAGTTCCTAACAAGCCACAGATCCATACTGGTCCTTGGCCCTGGGGATTGGGAACCATGACATTATGGATGCACAAATCTAGGCACAAAAGTTTGGGATGGAGGCATAACAGTGTGGTGGAAGCACATAAAAAGAAGCAATTAATTCTGTTTGGCTGGGGTGAAAAGGTCTGTAAAGATTATAGTAAGCTTCGTAAAAGGGATGGCAAAAAATAAATAAATAAAAGCCTCTAAAATGCTAAAAAAAAAAAAAAGTTACAGCAAAATAAAAATCCCCAAAAGAATGCCCTTTAGGCAATTTAGTGCCTTAACCTTTACCCTTTGTGGGTACCCTGCTGTAAAACATAGTTGGAAAAGGGAGCGCATTGCATTGCTTATGTGTCATAGTAATCTCTATATATTTCCTGCTATCTAGAGAGAATGAATACATTTCTAATAACAAGTACTTCATTCATAGGAAGTGGGAAGTGACTATAGAAAGGGAAATAGAGACAGGAGGCGAGCTTAGATGATCATCTTCCCTCTGAGTGTCCAAATAACACTGAGGTTAAGAGAGCAGCCTCTCAGAGAGTTAGCAGGGCTAAGGTCAAAGCCTGTCACCTCACATTTTAGCTGTATGGCACTGAGGGAATCAGGAATTCTCCCTCAGCATTAATTTTGTCATGTGTAAACTAGGAATAAGAGCAGTACCTACCTGGTAGAGCTCTTGTAAGAATTAAAGAAGATGGCACATATAAAATATTTAGTTGGCTCTTGGTGCATAATAAGCACTCAATGTGCTACAGCAAAAATAACACAGGAGGAAGAAAACGATAAAAATGATGATGATGACAATGGTTGGCTCTGGGTTCCGATGATGTGAGTTGTGATCCTGGCTCTATTCCCCACCAACCATGAGATAATCACTTTACATCAGTCTCCGTCTGCACCTCTGTCCAAACCTCTTAAAGTTACTGGGAGAATTTAAAGCCTGGCACACAGTACATGCTCAAGATAGGTAGATTGCCTAAAGAACTGTGGAGACAGACTTTCCTCTGGAACAGGATTGTCTTTTCCTGTTAGTCAGCCTTTCATCACAGTGAAGAGCCTTAGATAAAAGGTTGGGTCATAAGAAATGGTCAGTTAGACAAGCCTCGTCATAAGCTTAGGCTATTAGGCTGGTGAGGGGACCCTACCCCATCTCCAAAAGGAATCAGAAACTTCTGAACAAGGTTAAAATATGAACCTTGACAGATTTGTAAGGCCAGGCAATTCCCCTTCTCCTTGGGTTGGCCCAGCAGCTTCCCTGGAGTGAGCCACAGCAAATCCTTAAAAGCAAGCAGGCCCCCATGGTGGTCCTTGGAGTCAGCAGGTCTCCTGCACCACTTTCCACAGCCCATCTCAGGGAGGGAAGGAAGGAGCCTGAAGGACAGGTAGCTAAAAAAAGCAAGGTCAGACAGAGGACTAAAGGCCAGCCCCTGGAAGGGAAGGAGACTGTGGAACCAGGAAAGGGAAACTTCAAAAGGAAGACTGCTGGGAAGCCCCGACAGAGGACTGAGAGAGCCAACTCCGCCACTGCTGGGGCCCCCAGGGATACGATTAGCCAGACATCAGGGGCTCAGAAGCACTGCAGAAGGATCATTAGCTCTCAAGCCCCATTGCCGCTCACATCTGAAATGAGTCTGGATTCAGAAGCCCGGTGCCGAGCTGAGTGTGGTGGATCAGGAGGGAAGTGCACAGCTTAATCAGGGCCAGGAAAGCAGCTGACAAATTACAGTCTGATTTGTCATCATCATCTCAGAACTCGGCAAGTGTTTGTCCCTGAAAGAATCGATACCTGGAGGGAGAAGGGCTGTATTTTTAGAAACTCCTGGTTGGGAAATATATTTCAAGTGAGTAGAGAGTTTATTTAAGTTGGCTCCCCCACCGATCCAATAGACAGTATATTTATACAAAGCCAGAAAATGCTATAATTTCTCAAATCAAGTTGCCTCTCTGAACAGCTATACCTTGAAGCTTTCAGGGACGAATTTACTCCCTGTGCTAACAGCTCTACCCAGGAAACCATTTCCAATATCCCACCTTTAGCACTACTACCTTCCATTTGCATAGCATGTTATATGTTCAAAACTTCACAGATTCTGTTTTCTGGAGCACAATGAGATGGGCCGTGCAGGTGGTGTTAGCCCCATTCTACAGATGACAAAACTGAGGCATAAGATGTGAACATGATATTAGTGGAGGAGAGTTAGAAAGCAAGATCTCTCCACCTCTAGTTGTGTTTTGCCCCCTTTGGAGCTTTACTTCTCTAAAGATGTTGGCATACCTTAGAAAAGTAAATAATTAAGGATGTGTTTAAATGATGTCTAAGGGGTGCGTTCACTAGGAGGCAATGAACACAGGATCTCCAGCTGGACTTGGATTCAAATCCGAGCCCTGTAGTAACGTAGGCAACCTGCTTCACCTTTTTGAGTCACAGATTTCCCATCTGGAAAGAGTAGGGACACTGAAGTTCCTACTTCATAGCATAATTGTAAGCTTGGAAATCAGTACTATGTATAATAAAATCGTCATTACAGTGTCTGGCAGAAATAAAAGTCTATCCAGTAAGTACTATTTATTTCATTTTATGAGCTACTATTTTGAAGGCATTTTTCCAATAGCAAAACAAATTGAAACAATGGAAATATTCAATAGCAAAATAGTAAAAGGAAACAAGTTACATCATCCAGTAGGTATCTGTAATCCCAGGACTCTGAGAGGCCAAGGCCCCTGGATGGCCTGAGCTCAAGGAATTCAAGACTAGCCTGCGCAGGGTAAGACCCGGTCTCTACTAAAAATAGAAAAACTAACTCAGCATTGTGATTGGTACCTGTAGTCCCAGCTACTTGGGAAGCTGAGTCAAGAGAATCTCTCAAGCCCTAGAGTTTGAGGTTGATGTGACCTATGACACCACGACACTCAATCCAGGGCAACAGAGTGAAACTCTGTCTCAAAAAATAAATAAAGATGTAGAAAGAGTTAACAACATAAAAATGTCTAAGATACGTGAACACTAAATTTTATTTTTGAAATGCATCCATGTATATGTGGATAGTTACAGAAAGTTCCAAATAAATGAGTACACATTTTAGAAGGAGCTATCCTATTCCTGCCTGTCACATGGTGACGCTAACATTTACGTGATTAATGCCATCTTTTGCGTGAACGTCATACTACACTTTGCTATCATAGTTCAATTCAACTTTGGAACGTAATGTACAGATAATATCTCTTAAAATGTATAACCTTTTTTCTCACCCTCTGTATATAGGTGTGTGGCTATATACACACACACACCCCTAGAGATATACACAAGTATTTAGCTGCAGATGTCTCTGGATGGAGTGGCTTATAATCCCCTCTTTCTGCTGATCTATTTCTTTGGCATCTAATATAGTAGCCGCTGGCCACATACAGCTCTGTTACTTTCAATTCATTAAAATAAGATGAAATGAAAAATAAATTATTTCTCAGACTTCAAGTGCTGGACAGCCACCTGTTATGAGGGGCTGTATTGCACAGCACAGACTTGGAGTAGCTCCATCATGGCCGCAAGTTACATTGTGCAGCCCTGGGAAATGAGATCAGGGCAGTGACCGCCCTCCTCCCTGCATCCAGCTTCTCATTTGCATCTACTTTCCCCTCCTAGATGCGGATTTAACTCTTGTCTTCGGACATATTACGACTATCGTAGTGTGACAAAGCAGGGATTACCTCATTTGTAACGGTTCTAACAGTGATTAGCTCTCCCCGTGATCCTATTAAGACTAGATCCCTCTGAATTATTAATAATAACCTCACAGAGTCCCCTCTTTCACAGGAAGTGCAGTTCCAACCAGAACGTTTCTGCAATACCATCGTGTGTGAGAAGCCCAACAACCACCTCAACAGGTTTAAGGGTTATATGTAAGTATCTGAGGCCCCTGCCCTGCTGGGAAATAGCTCCTCTGCAACTAGAAAATATATTTGCTTGAAATAATCAAACAGATGACCATCTGGATCCTAAGAAAGTGTGTTTCCTTTATATTTATTTCCATAAAGAAGGACCAGAGAAATCTAAGTTGGAAGACGTTTCTCTTTTTTTTTCCTTTTGCTGTTGTTGAGTGACAATTAATTATATTTATCTTCCAAGGCTAAATTAAATTCACCAGTGGTTGTTTTTTAGAACCTTTGTGAAATAGCATCAAAATCAAGATTGTGTTCTGATTCACGGGAGGCAAACATGATTTAATTAAGATTGATTTTCTAAAAGTGCCCCTGTTATATTGTAGGTAAGAATGGGGACTTTGAAGTTTGAAAGACCCTGGTTTGAATCAGGGATCTGCCAATTACAAGCTGTTTGACCTTGAGTAAAGTAATTAACCTCTCCAGGCCTTGGTTTCCACATCCCAAAACTGAAGATTATAATATCTACATTATAAGATCTTTCTTTTCTAGGAATTAAGTTGTTTTCAGATGCAAAGCCCTTGCCTGGCAACTGGCAAAGAGTAAACTCAGTAACTAGTGGCTGCCAGCATTGGGAATATTGTTATTCTTGTTCCTCAACTCTGGTTCAGCCCAAGACTTTCACTGTAATAAGAGCGGTAGTAACAGATGTGAGTAAACACCCTGACGCAGTGCTTCACTAGTTTTTAGAGCACTTCCACTGAACATCATCTTGAGTAATCTTCACAACAACCAAAGGGAGTGAGTTTCATGATCTCTACTGTTTGGATGGGGATTCTGATGACCTAAGACTTTTCAGGATTCTCCCAAAGTCACACAGCAGGAACCAGTCAAAGCCAGGACTTAATGCTAGGTCTTCTGACCCAGCCCCAGTGTGTTTTGCACTGCTGTGCAGTACAGAGCTCAGCCCCATTAAGCCAACTTCTCCACCAACAGGGCCTGAAACGGGGCTTAAGAAGCGTCCTTGGAACGCAGGTGTCTCCACTTTCCTCCAGCCATATTTTCTCCGGCCATATGGGAGGAATGCAAGAGGACCTAGGATAAGAACAATACAGGAGAAACAGTAGCTTTTAAAGGCAAATTGCTTTTAAAATGTGCAGAGAGAGCAGATGGAGACAGGCAGAGAAGGGCAGGAGGTCCTGGAGAACAGGAGGACTTCATTAGGGCCATCTGATAAGGAAGAGCCTGTCACTGCCCTTGAAAGGAGGACACTCCTCACGACTGAGGTTCATAGATTCCCTTCATCCCAAATCGCCCATGCCTGAGCCTTTCTCCTTATCCTCTGAGAGGATAGCCTCATTGCTGGGTCCTGTTTCTGGTTTCTGGTTTCTTTCTTCCCACAAACAGCTCATGGCCAACAGCCCTCTTTCTAAGTGTCAACCTGGGCTCCAACCCACCCCTCGCAGGCAGATTTCACCATAGAACTTTCCCAGCTCTACTCAACCCCCAGCACCTCCTCTTCCTGGAGACCTGTCTTTCTTTCCCTTGCTGGGTCTCCAGGGTAAGCCCTAGAAGTTACCCCACTAATGATGGAGAATTCTTCACCGAGGTCCTGCACCCTCCCTATCAGGCCCTGCACCCACAGGTGGTCTGCATCCTCCTCCTGAGCAGACCACTGGTTTGATGCCTTTGGGTTTCCTAGAAGCTTCTGTGGGTCCCATTATTTTAGAAGGTCCCTGTCAACCAGAAGATGAACCGCTTTTAACAAACTGTTTAAAGATTAGGGGAGTGAGATGTGAAAATGCAACTTTTAAACAGAAGGATCTCAATAGATCAGAGAGAGCAATGGTCGTCAGCCAGAGGCAATTACCATCACCATCACCCCAACCAAGGAACATCTGGCAATGTCTGGAGACATTTCTGGTTGGGAAACTGAGGAGGGGTGCTGCTGGCGTCAAGTGAGCAGAGGACAGGGATGTTGGCAAACACCCTAAAATGCAGAGGACAGCCCCAACAGAGAATTATCCAGCCTCAAAATGTTAATAGTGTCCAGGTTGAGAGATGCTGCTCTAGAGTCAGTAAAGTAGAGCGCCCCTGTAAAAACTAAGAGCACCAACCAGAACAGCAGCTGTGAGACAGCTGGTCCTTTCCCACCATCCAATGAAAAGGATGCACTATGACTGGGAGAAGGAGAAGCCTCTAGCATAAGTTATCCTCTCAGAGCATCATGAAAATGTTCTTGAAACCACAAGTTAGTGACGGAGACCCATGCAAGACTCCTTGGCCCAATGTTTAACCCACAGCCAGCCTCCTCCTTGAAAATGGAGTAAGGGGGGAGCAGTGGTGGATCCTGTACTTCAGTCATTCCTGGCCAACTTTATGGTTTTTGTCATATTCATGAAAATCTATGCTTTCATTCACCAAATTTTTAATTGCCTTGTTTTTTTCTTAAATATATTTCAGAAGGAAAGTCTGTATCACAGATCCTATGGGAAATCAGTACCACTTGTTAGACACGGCAGGTAACAGTAGAAATTAATACAATGAAATGACAACATTTATCATTATATTGTAAATACAGATTATTATTTGCCAAAGCCTCCACATCACAAAGTAGGGTAGACAAGTATTAGAACAGTGTTAACAACCTACCAGCGTGAATGGAGACATCCTCCTTGATGGATTCAGCAGAATTAAAAATGGCAAGGACTCTCCAATTCAGAGTGAGTGACTGGGGTAGCACTTAGGGAACTCTAGAGAGGTGAAAATCACAATAGGGTTGGTTATCTGTGACCTGGATTCCTGAGTCTTAGGCTGTCCATGCACTAGATGTGTGGCCTTGGAAAAATTGCTCAGCTTTTTCATGAGTAAGGACTATCCTACTATCTTCTTGAAACTACAAGGAGTCAAATACAATCATGTAATTAAATGTAGTTTACAACACAGTGAGGAATTATTAGCATAAAAAGGTGTATATTGAGTGACAGAACAGTACTTTGGGGCCAGACTTTCTAGGTTTTAATCCCCATTCTGCCACTGACTGGCTCTATGAACTTGCCTTAGTTTTCCAATCTATAAAATGGGTATGAAAACATGACATCTTATATGGTTATTGTGAGGCTTGAGTTAACACATGGGAAAGACTTATAACCAGACTTAGAGAAATCAAGTGTTGAAAAACTATAAACAAACAAAAAAATCTCTAGGAGTTCAGATTATTATTTTTCTGCTCTCCTCAGTGTTTTTGGAAAGTAGTCTTTAAACTTGCTGAAAATCTCAAAAGAAAGGCATTAGGATAGAATAAGAGTCAGACCCCAGTTAACAACCAGCCAGACTCAGAGGTTCCTACCGTGAGGTAGATAGAAAACAGCAGTGCTCCCTGAAGCTAGAGAAAGGAAGCCGTGTTACCTCTGCTTTACTGTACAACCCCCACCCCCACCCCCGCCAATAAACTGGGCCAAGGACCACTGTCCACCTCCCGTGAGGTCCGTTTGGTTTACAAGGGACTGAGCAAGTCTGGGAACATGGAAAGGAGGCCACGGGAGTGGTGTAGCTCAGAACCAGAGGTGCCTGCGACCTGCCCTCTTTATTTTATATTCCCTTCCTTACCTGCAGCAGTCTTCCCAGGACCTGGATGTTCAGCTTGCACGGTCCTGGCCCCAGCAGCTGGTGAGAGTGAGCAGGTGAACCTGCCCATAGGGCTGCAATGCCGGCCCTTATAGGCCCAGAAGCAAGTTCCCCGTACTTTACCCCTAAAACTATTTTGAGTGTGAGAATTGAAGCCAAGGCCTTTTTAACACAGAGTTCTTCTGCCTTTTTTGTGAGTAAATGATGATTTTCTCAGAATGAATGATTCCCGCCTAATGGCTCAGCCCCCACCCAGACCTCTTAGGAGGAGCCAGAGGATATTAGATCCCCTGTTACTGTCGTTCTTCAGAAAAAGAGAGAGGAGAGAGGTCCCGTTCACCACTTCCAGTTCTGTGACACCGACCTGTGACAGCATGGAGAAACCCCCACACCAGCCCCTCTTTTTCTCCTCTTCCCCAGGGAGCATCCCGACCAGACCAGGACTGGCTTCAACAGTGAGAATCTTCTGCTTCGAGGCTGCACCGTCAGAAACACCGAGGTGGCTGTTGGCATTGTCATCTACGCAGGTCATTGTCTGGGTGGTCCCTTCTGTCCAATCTCCCCTTTATCCTTCCTCCTTTATCTCCTCTTGTCATTCTTGTGTTTTGGTCCAGATTGTTCTTTGTGGCCAGCAGATGTCCTGTACAACTTTTTAGCACATCCCATGGCCTCTGCTCACAGATGCATTAGCCCCACCTCCCACCCCACGATATGGTAACCAAAAATTTCTCAAGACATTGTCAAACATGCCCTGAGGAACAAAACCACACCTGGTTGAGAGCAATTGGTCCAGGGTTACCATTTCTCCCTTGATATTGAACCTCAGGGTCAGAGGCCCAAAAAGGCCAAGTTGAGTTTTCAGAAGAAAAAGATCCAGTGTAGAGGTCTGTGCACCTTACAACATTTTCTGAGCCCCTATTGTGACTCAGACACTAATTTAGATACTTTGTGTGTATTGATTTCCACCTACACACACATAATCATTATCTCTGATTTTTCAGAGGAGCTGATGTACAAAGGAATTCATTCAGCCAAGGTCACATATGCCTTGAGAATAACTTTCTGTAATCCCAGATCAAGCATCTGCAGAGCTGAGCTCTGCCTGACTCTAGAGCCCACATTCTAACCACCATACCATCCTCCCTCTCCCTTGAATTCAACTCTGGCCAAAAAACAGAGGGTCTCAGAAGGTAGGGAGAAGCTGGGTGGAGTGGTCTCAGGACTCTTCATATAGAGCAAGCCTAAGAGGCAGGCACAGAGGCTACTGGCCCATCGGTGCAGTTGGTCTGTGCCCATATGCTTCTGGAACCCCCTTGAACTGCAGCTTCTTGAGTCTAATTTTAAATCCTAGAGTTTATTCACTCCCGCTCTTTGTTTGCTATTTTAAATCCACAAGGCAGCCAGCTAAATCCGCATTAGAACCATTTGCTTCTGGAGCTGATGTATTTATTAGTTTCCTTTAATTTTGCACAGAAAATATGTGACTTTTTTTTAATTTGACTGCTGAGGAGTACAGCACAGTAGTGAAATTCAATGGAGCCCCCCAAAGAGGCTCCATCTAAAGACGTAATCTCAGTTTGACCTTTAGCTCTTGGCCTCTGTGGCCTTGGGCACCATGGGTTGGTGGAAGGAGAAACTGGCAATCAGAATCTTGGATTCCTGCTGTGATTATGATATATTAATTTATTCTTTCACTTTGGACTGATACTTTTTACTTTCTGGTCCTCAGTTTCCCCAACTGGGAAAGGAGGTGACTATAAAAAATAAATAGTTTTGAAACTTTGTCAACTTTTTTTGAAAAACAATGTTATGCAGAACTCCAACACAGGAGCAGAGCTGCTCAAAGTTCATGCTAGGGTGGGGCCTTTCCTCCCTACTAGTCTTGTACAGCCAAAGAAACAAGTATGAAAAATACAGGTCCCAGGCATTCTCCTACCACAGGGCCTTTGCACATACACTTCCCCCAGCATAAAACTCTCTGCTCCTAACTTCTCTCTGTCCTTTCAGGTTCCCCTTAAATGTCATCTCCTGGAAGAAACTTTCCCTGAGCTTGCTCTCCAACACTCTCTTTCATCTGCCTGGCCTTTTGTTTACTGTTAATTACTTCATGGGACTGTATCTTCACCAAAATGTGAACCATCTGCCTCCCTGTTATATCCCAACCTTAGCCTATAACAGCCAGAACAGCACCTTTGTACAAATTAGAAGATAGCTCTTCCTCAGGACGGCTTACTATCATTTGTCCGAAAGTTGTCACAATAAACTTACAAATCTTTGACAACTTCCAAAGAATCCATGCAGGGTAGCTCTGTCACGCCCACCCAGCACCTGCTGCAAATTGTGTGAGGTCTCCTCCCAGAGGCAGGAGCAGTTCAGGTTAAAGAAGGAAGCCTCTCTTTTACCATGCGCTCCTGTGACAGGTGCCAAGGCCATGCTCTGAAACAGGCGAACAGAAACCAAGGAACTCATTTCTTCATTTTCTCCCACAGGCCATGAGACAAAAGCCATGCTGAACAACAGCGGCCCCCGGTACAAACGCAGCAAGATTGAGCGGCGCATGAACACGGACATCTTCTTCTGCATCGGGATCCTCTTCCTCATGTGCCTCATTGGAGCCGTAGGTATGGCATGTTCTGGAAAGAACAAGAACACAGTAATCGTCTATTTCTTTGGGCAGGTTGCTTCAATTGTCTTGAGACTCAGTTTCCCGGTCTATAAAATGGGGCAAATGAAAAACAAAGCCTACTCCACCTACTTTATCAGGATGCCAATGACATAAAAGTGCAAATGGAAATCTCTCCTGAAAATAGTGTGTGCATGCTCCTTAAATACTAGGGATATCATCCATCATTTATTTGTTCAAGAAATACTGACAGCACCCAGGCACTGTCTTAGCATGGAAGGATAAGAAGATGAACCTGTCACAGGACCAGTCCTCAAAGAGCTCGTATTATAGTCTACCAAGGACTCAGACATGTGGAGTCAGCAACAGTGCAGTCGTGCGGCTCCATGGGGGGCTGCACACGGGAACTGCTGTAAGACATTAACACACGCATCAAATCATTCAAAACAACGCAGATTTATTCTGTTACCACTCTGGATGTCAGAAGTCCAAAATCAGTTTCACTGAGTTAAAGTCAAGATATCAGCAGGTCTGATTTCTTCTGAAGGCTCTGGGGAAAGAATTTGTTCTTTGTCTCGTTCAGCTTCTAGTACTTGCGGAACTCCTTGCTCTGTGGCTCCTTGCCCCATTTTCAGAGTGTAATCTGAAAATTCTGATCTCTGCTCACATTTCCTCCTCCTCATCTGTAGCAGCCTCTCTTTTATAAGGATACTTGTGATTACATCATCTGATTGATTTCTTTATTTTCCATCCAGTTAATCCAGGAAACTCAAGACCAATGGCTTAATCATATCTGCAAAGTCCTTTTTGCCATATAAAATAGCATATTCACAGGGCCAAGGGTTAGGGTGTATTTAGGGGTTGAGGGATTATTCTGCCTACCACAGGCCTTATGGGAGCATCAACGAGGGAAGTCTTTATTGAAGACACAGCTGTTGGTGCTGCAGGAACATGGCAGATGGACTTAAGTTTAGAAGCAGAACGGGGCAAGCAGTGGTGAGGAGAGAGCGCAAGAGAGGCCCCCTCTTAGCCCCAGGGACAGCATGAGAGAGCACAGAGGAGAAGGAGAATCATTTTGTGCAGGGGAGCAGTTGGCTGTTTGGTGTGTCGAGAGAAGAGTAAGACCAAAGATGGAGACCTCAGCATGATAGGAGGTAGAGACGGACGTGATCTGGAGCTGTTTAAGCTGATCCATAGAGTGTAGGCAAAGAGGGGTCCTCACTGGAGCTCTGGCCCCTTTTTCCCCTTTACAGCTTAACTCTAAGGATAATTCTCTGGATGGCAAAGGGGACCCCTAAAACAGCCCCAGGGACAGTCAAGAGGAAAAACTCATGTGCTGAGTCCAGAACCCCATCCCAGCCCCGGACTAATGCACAGCAATGGTGTTTGCTTGCTACTTGCCTTAGAAATTGTAGCCTTAAAGAAAAAAAAAGAAAAGAAATTGTAGTCATTGCTATTGTTAAAAAAGAAAGGTGACATCTGAAGGCTAAGAGTTTCCAGGGGCTCAGAGAGGTTTTTTTATGCCGCTACAATGAATATGACAGGATTTAGTCTTGTGGGTGGCCTGGAATTTTTAATGAAGGTGCTCCCCAGGTATATCTAATAGCAGCCCCCTTGAGGGTAGCTCACAACTGTAAGGAGAGCCCCTGGAAAGCACCAGGAAAACTGTTGCCCCACACTATCCCCCACCTGCACGTTCACCCACGTGGCCACCTCTGCATCCCCAGAGACGCCGCAGCAACTCTTGCCTCTGCTTCAGGGCAGATTTTTCAGCGTATCCGAGCTAAAAGGGCATTTGAGATTACCTCAGTGTGTTTCCCGAGATAGGAAATTAATGATTAAAAGGTTGCTGAGTGAGATATGACACAGCAAATCTGAATTGGCTTGGCAGATTCCCAAAGTAATAAAGAAAGAAAGTTCATAGGGAGGGGCAGAATTCTATTCTTTCTGAGAATAACAACTCTTACATCCAACAGGACTCTGTTGGCATCTAATTAAAGCAAAGCCCCGTGGGAGGTAAAAGATCTCCAATGAGCCATCCCATGGTTCTTGACTACATGTTTACTTTGATTTTTGTAAAGATTATCTTTCTTCTTTCCTGGCCCGGAGTGTTCTCCTCTGGTCTTCCTGACCCTCCGGTACCTGCCTGGGCTTCAGGACTCCACGAGTCCTCCCTCTTCATGCAGTCTTCCCTGGCTTTTCCTGTACTCTTATCTTGCTCCTCTGAAGGCCACTGGCCCTTAGCCAGTTGCTCTCTATTACCTCAAATACCTTCATGTCCGTAGGTCTCCGTTCTTCTGCCATTTATGGTGGCATTTGATCCAACCTCCTGTTCCCTATGCATTTCATTCCTGGGAGTTCTTACCCTGAAGCTAAGAGCATTTCACACATTAGATCGTTCTATTCTCACAATAATCCTATATGGAAAATATTATTACTAATTAAAAGACAAAAACACTGAGGTTCGTCACCTCTAAAGTAGATGCTGGATGAACTTCATCTTACATAATCCTCAGATAATGGGAGTTGTTATTCCCTTCGCAGATAAGGAAATGGAGACTTCAGGCTCCATCTGGTGTTTTTCTAGTAGGCTCTCATGACATTCCAGGTTCTGCATAGCAGCTCTCATACTGCATGAGGTTTGCCCCTCTATGTCTGGCTCCCTAATGGAAAGGAACACCTCAAGGACAAGAACTAGGAGTGCCTCTTCTTTGAATTAATAATTGTTGGCTAGAGGGAGGGGTGAATATGTAAGGAAAGATGGATGGATAAATGTGTAGATAGGTGGGTGGATGGGTGGGTGGGTGGGTGGATAGGTGGGAAGATGGGTATTGGATGGGAGAAGGGAAATTGGGGGACATATCTGTCAGGATTCCCCAGCCATGCACTTCCCACCATACAGTTTTAAGAAGTACATGTCCCTTTCTCTTTCCAATCCCTATTGAATAGAACTCCATCCAAACATAAATAATCCCCATGCCAATTTCCTCTTGTAAAATAGACTTAATGCCTAGGGATAGAAGTGGAGGGCATATGAAGGACCACTTTGGAGCTGAATGAGTGCACACTCACATACATGTGCTCACCAAGCTACGTCATACGGAAGAAGGCTGAGTCCTCCAAAGCATACTCACTTCTTGGAATGGGTCAAGGGCTGATGTAATTGACCAAATTCAGGACTAAGTGGAGATTCTGTCTCATCCCTGGTTTTGCCCCCTCTCAGGTCACAGCCTCTGGAATGGGACCTTTGAAGAGCACCCTCCCTTTGATGTTCCAGATACCAATGGCAACTTCCTTCCCCTTGCCCTTGAGGGTGTCTACATGTTCCTCACAATGATCATCCTGCTTCAGGTAGGAAGCCTAACTAGAGGCCTAAAAAGATATGTGACCAATACCCCTAAAGCTTTGCAAAATAAAGAAAAATTTGTTCAGTCTCTAAGAAAAACTGACTAGACAGAGATGAGGGGATGCTTATTGCTTTCTGTGTGTCTTTGAAAGTTCCCGTTTGGGGTAATGTCAAGATTAGCCCCACGATATGGAAAGGACCCTGTCCCCTAGATAATAGCTAGAAGAAAATCTTTATCATATTCTTCCACTTAAGATGACAGCAGTAGGCTGGGCATGATGCTCACACCTATAATCCTAGCACTCTGGGGAGCTGAGGCAGGTGGATCACTTGTGCTCAGGAGTTGAAGACCAGCCTGAGCAAGAGCAAGACCCCGTCTCTACTAAAAATAGAAAAACTAGCTGGGTGTTGTGGTTGGTGCCATAGTCCCAGCTACTCAAGAGATTGAGGCAAGAGGATTGCTCAAGCCCAAGAGTCTGAGGCTACTGTGACCTACGATAATGCCACAGCACTCTACCCAAGGGAACAGAGTGAGACTTTGTCTACAAACAAACAAACAAGCAAAAAAGATTGAAGCAATGACACACATGTGCCTGTCTCCTTTTTCAGATAGAGAACAGGTAAAACATTAATGACCTAGGAAAAAAAGATGAAGTAGCACAGTGAGCTAAAGAGAACTCTCACACCCCAAACACTGAGAGAGCGAAACCTCAAATTTGTATTTTAACATTTGATAGATTGAAATGAAAGACAACCAACTTGGCCCTATATAAATGAAAAAAATAAAAACAATAGCACCTAAAAAAAATGATGAGGCAGTAAGGGAAAAAGATAAATAAAAGAAAAATCTTCATTCTAAGAAAGTAACAATCTCTGAAAAGGTGAGTAAAGTGTAATTTTGCTTTAATGAAGCTTCATCTACATTAGATTTCTTGCGTTATTTGAGGATGTTTCATTGTCTTCTTATTGGTGAACCTTTTTCATTCATTCATTCCTGCGTCTAGCAGAATAATTATTTAAAAATGTGAATCAAATTATCCCCTTCCTCCCCACAGAACCCTCCAATGATTTCACATCTACTCAACATGCACTTCAAAGTCCTTACCGTGGCCGATATGGCTCTAAGTGATCTGGACCTTGACCCCCTCCCTGACATTGTTTCCTCCTCCTCATCCTCCTCCCCTTCCTCCTCCCCACTCAGGGACATGCTCAGCCTTTCCTCTGCCAGTAACCTCCTCCCACAGATAACTTCACACTCTCATTTCTTCAGGTGTCTACTCAAAGGTCATGGTTTATAGCCCCTCCCTCCCATCGCTCTACCCTCTTTACTTTTCTTTGTTCTTTCTGGAAAGACTTACCACCATTGATAAATATTTCTTTTTTTACTGTCACTAGCAGAGGTCAGGGGTTTTGTTCTGTTGACTCCCATTTCCAGGACTCAGAGCAGCAAGCCCTTGATAAACGTAAAGTATCAAATCGGTGAGCAGAAACAGCAATGATTCTGAGTACCTAGAAAAGGGGGTGGCAGCCGTAGGTGGCTTAGACATCCAACCAAGGGAAATCTGGGAACTCTGAGAAGAGGCCTTAAAGCACCCTCTCTCCCTCCCAGCTCAGTCACTGACAACCAGTAGTGGGTACCTACCTCGCACCAGACACTGCTGGGTGAAGAAGGCATACTGCTTTTCCCTAAGAATTCCTAAGGAGACATGAAGTCATTGACCTTTAATTTCTGAGAGGAAGTCTACCCTGTGATCCAGGAAGTGGCTGTCTTCTACCTGCTAGTGAGGGTCCTACAGTGGGAAACCACCTGGTCTCTGACTCAGTGGGAATCTGTCTCTCCCCAGGTGCTCATCCCCATCTCTCTGTACGTCTCCATTGAGCTGGTGAAGCTTGGGCAAGTATTCTTCCTGCACAATGACCTTGACCTGTATGATGAAGAGACTGATTCATCCATTCAGTGTCGAGCTCTCAACATCACTGAAGACCTGGGTCAGATCCAGTACATCTTCTCAGACAAGACGGGGACCTTGACAGAGAACAAGATGGTGTTTCGGCGTTGCACCATCATGGGCAGCGAGTATTCTCACCAGGAAAATGGTACGAGGGCTCCAAAGGCCTCCATCCCTCTTCTGAAAAGAAAGCATTTAGCTCTCTTGAGAGAACAGGAGATGACAGACACAATCCTGGCTCCCCAAAGAGGCTGTGTGGCATTTTGTCAAGTTGCTTCTTATATCCCTGTGTCCTCCTTGTCACTGATCAGTGCTGTTCCAATTACCTGTAAACTTTCATCTGTTCACAAAGGCTGGAAAGCAATCCCATACATGGTGCCCCTCCAATTGAACTTTACCTGGTATCATACCAAAAATCCAGGTAGGATTTTTACCTACGAACAACAGATTGGAAACATTTCCCATTATGTGGCAATCGTACAAGTAAGGTTTAGGAATTTCTCGGTTTACCTTACCAGACATGTCAAAACAGGTCTAGGCACACACTCAGATTTGACAGATCCAGAAAATGATTTCCCTGAGACAGTTTTGCATTTGGGTCATAGGGCTGTCAAATGCCTAGACTTGTTACCTGTAGGTGGCCCATTAAGATGGCCTGAAATCCCTCAGCCACCCATACACTTTCTAACTAAGTTCTGTAACTCAGAGAATTTAGTTCTCTCTTAGAGATCAACATGCATCCTTTTGGGTAAGAAGGACGGAGAAAGAGAGAGGCGGGAGTATTATAGACTGCTCTATGCCTTTTACCATGGTGACAGTTGACTATTTATGTGGAAGCTCCTAATCTCTTAATAATGCTAACAGCTACAATTACGAGACTTAGAGTATCCCAATCACTTTAACACATTATATCATTATATCTTCAAGACAACACAGTGAGTTAGGTGTTTTTTTAAAACCCCTAATTGAGGAAATAGAGACTCGGGTTAAGTCAAAGCTCAAAGTCACAGAACTCGTAGGCAGTAGAGCCAGGATTTAAATCTTCAGGACTTAGTTGCATCCGTCTCTCCCTAGTCTCAGCAGCCCCATTGCCAGTTCTCCAGAGCAGCCTCACCCAGTGCTCTTGCCTGGCCCCAAGTCAAGGGTCACCCAACCATGGCCCGATCAGTTTCCAACTGGTGCAATAATAGGACTCCTTTCTTGCAGCCAAGCGACTGGAGACCCCGAAGGAGCTGGACTCAGACAGTGAAGAGTGGACCCAATACCAATGCCTGTCCTTCCCAGCCAGATGGGTCCAGGGCCCAGCAACTATGAGAGGACAAAAAAGTGCCCAGCCTCTGAGGAGGTGCCAGAGTGCCCGTGTGCCCATCCAGGGCCACTCCCGACAGAGGTCTATGGGGCACTATGAAAACTCCCAGCCCGCTGTGGCCTTCAGCAGTTCCATAGTAAGTCTCTGCCTTGTCCTATTTAAACTGCAAGTATTCTGTGGTAGGAAGAGATGGGAAAGGACACTGGGATGTGGGAGAGAAGGTTGTACAAACCCTGGAGAGCTCTCAAACCGGTATTCTTGGTCTTGTATGTAGTCCACACATGTTCTTTGTTGGCATAAGCAATATTTGTCCATTTGAAATATTCAATGTTTAGCAATCAGGAGATTTTGTGTAAACATAAAGATTTCTGGCTTCTCTTTAAAAAATGGAGTTGCAAAAATGCTACACACTAAGCCAGCATTTCCTCAAGCCAATAACCGGATTGAACTGAGGAGTCCGCGCCACTTAGACTGGGCAAGCCATGTTCAGTTTTTCACGGCCTCTTCCCCGCCACCTTCTCTGTTTATCCCACCTCTGAGCTGAAAGCCATTAACATGTTAGTTATGCATTTTTTAAATTGTAAAAAAATACTGTATACTGGCTCATGCCTATAACCCAAGCATTTGGAAGTCTGAGATGGGAGGATCACTTAAGGCCAGGGATTCAAAAGCAGCCTAAGCAACATAGGAACATTCAGGTTAGCACACACTTGTAGTCCTAGCTACTCAGGAGACTGAGGCAAGAGAATCATTCAAGCCCAGGAGTTCAAGGCTCCAGTGAGCTGCTATCGTGCCACTGTACTCCAGCCTGGGCAACAGAGCAAGACCTTGAGAGAGAGACAGAGAAAGATTATACAATTAGGAAAGATAAGAAATACTTGTTATGCCCATCTTTCTACAAAGTAGAAAAACAGAAGATAAACCTGTAGGGTTTATGTTTAAAGAAAAATGGGAGACTATGCTTTTTGCTGATAATCAAAAATGAGTTTTAAATAGTTGTAAAGCAAAGAATATCTATGTCAAAATTAACCAGCCTGTGTCATTACCGTAGGTTAACTTCTTGGCCCTGATGGGCATTCAGGTTTGTGAATTTGGTCTGGGACTTTCTGCATCCTTTCACGTTTGATCCTTTAAGACAGCCGTCTATAAACATCCAAGTAGCAAGTGAAGAAGCCAAGCTCCTCCCCTGATATTACACAGCATTCCTCAGAAGTCAAGGCCAAAACTAGACCTTCTGACTACTGGCCTATTCCTCTTTCCTATGCATATGCTCTTTCTCCAGAGAACATAAGAATACATCATCTGGAATTCGTGCACTTGCAGAAAAGGCCACAGGGAGCCCAGCTATCTTGAACAAAAGACACATACTGACAGATGGGAATAGATGATAAAAATGATCCTTTTGGCCAATTTCCTTTAAGTCTTTTGTTTTGAATACACACATACCCACAACTATATATATTAAACATTATTTGCAATCATGGTACACATCAATTGTAGGTGCCAGGGTTTTTTGTTTTAACTTAGCATGCCATGAAAAGGATTTTTCATATTGCTACTTAGTATTCATAACCCAGGACTGTGTTTTCTGACTGTGATAAAGAAAAATGCTGTAAGTCTGTGTTTTAAGTTGTTACTCATCTAACACTGGATGAGTACAAAGTTAACTTTCTTGTGTTATTCTCATGCACACAAATGCAGCATTAGCAAGGATAAAACCAGCAGGGTGTGTTGAGACAAACGATCCTCATAAATAACACAAGTGGAATGATCCAAAGATGCCTTTGGGAAGACTCGTGAGATTTTTTTCCTTTTGATTTTCCCAAGTGAGATAACAACAGGACATGTCTATTAGCCAGTCTTTCTCTTTGTTAATTGAATTCATCTCCCTATGAACAGAACGCACCTCCCCCAGCTCTCTTCCCATATGTTTTTTAAATGACCTTCCTGAATTCTTATTAGGCATAGATTCCATATGTCTTTTTGCACCTTCCAGTTCTAGGTATTGCTGGCATCCCATGTGCCTGAGAATGTCTTTCTCCAGACCATGGGAAAGAGAAAGGAAGCTTTCCTTTGTGTATCTCAGTTAAGACACATCAATTCACGGCCCCTTGTTCAGCCTGAAAAATCCCCGAAGCCCTGAAAGACGACCTCCCTGAGGCAGGCAGTGTAACTGGTATGCAGGGCCCTTCACTGATAGTAGGTGAGGGGGACACACCTACCCTGGAGCTGTTTCCAGATTCTGAATGTCCTCACCCTGCTCCGGGTGGCAATTCCAAAGGCAAGTCTAATAAAGTTCATTCAGGAGCAATAAGGAAATGACACTAGACCCAATTCTTGTTGCCTGGGCAGGTGGAGAAGGTGAGCGGTTCTTCTTATCACCAGCTAAGTATACTGTTCTATAATCTGGCCACTTGAAAATATGAGGTTAGTGGGACAATAGCATCCTTGGGTAGTTGTTAGGGAGGGCACTGGCCTGAAGGTCGGGAAATGTAAGTTCTGATTTTAGCTGTGCTGCTGGCTTGCTGGGTAACCTTAAGCACGTGTTAACCCTCTTTCTACTTCTCTTCCATCAACTGAAAATATTCATTCTTTACTTAAAATTCTCAGCAAGCATTCTAAAGATCAAATAACACCTGCCAGATCCCTTCAAACTATAACTTAGGCACATTTGGGAATCCAAAGCCCCAGGCGTTAGCTCTTAGCTGCCCCGTGGGTGAGCTCTGTGTCTGTGGTGAACTTACTGAACTAGAAGCCTCAACTTCCCCATTGTTAAGATGAACATGATCGTTCAGGCTCATGAGTTTATTTTGAGGATTTGTTCTTAAAACCATGTGTTCCAGGTAGACAGATACCGAATAGAAGTTGTAAATGATCTTTCCAAAGGGAAGCTGTCTGCCTTGAACGAATGTTCACTCACGTATCAACATCATGGAGGGCAATGGGGAGTTTTCATAGACTGTAACTGTTGAGCTCTCTCTCCTGAGATGATGGTATGTTTGGTCTAGAATAGGGTCTGGGCATTCTTATTTTTATTCCTGATGATTCTAGTGAACAGCCAAGATTGAGAAGCTCTGTGAGCAGACCATTGCCCCTCCAGGAAAGTCTTCGTTTGGCTCATAGGTTCTTCCTACAGCTTGGAAGGCATTAGCTGAAGGGTGTGATTTATGCCACCTAAGGGCTCTCATGCCAGCCCATCAATTTCCTCGGGATGCAGCCAGATCCTTAAAGTAATCCCAAGACAGCTTCTGTGGCAGCCCCTGCAGGGTCCCTCAGCTCCCACACCCACCCACCCTTGGCAGGCCCTAAGCTTGCCCCTCTCCCACCTGCCCCCCGCCTGCTCCCACCTGGCCATCTGGCATCAGTTTGGGGCTCATTATCTCTTGGAACCACCAGTGCTTTACCTCTCCTTTGTGAACTCAGACAGAACTTGCCTCTGAAACCCCCAGGGAGCATTTAATCACATTCTACAGAAACCAGTCCTTGGCTCAAAAATAAAACAAGAATCAACAAGAGCAACAACAATGAAATCTAGGGGTTTTTTTTTTTTTCTTTTACTATAAAAAAATAAGGAAGCATCAGTGATTACCGCCTCATTGCCTGCTATAAACCCTGTAGCTTGGAGGTGGGAGTAATAGCCTTATAAAAATGGCGAGTTCTGAGCCAATGTTTAATAGTACTGGCAGATGGAAAATGAAATGCTTTTTTTTAATCCTCATCTGTAAGCAGCCAAGATTTGAGCCAAGAATCTTGGTTTAAAAGTGTCACTTAGAGAATGTTTTTTCAGAACCATCAGGCCAAAGAGTATCTTCCTAATTGTAAACTTTGCACGGGGGCCAGCTAGACTCCCCCAAACTTCCCCACCACTCCCATCTATAAATATCCATCCCTTCCCCCCAAAGAAAATGTGATAGAGAGGAGCAACGGTGGTGTCCTTGGCCTTCTGCCTCCTTTCCCTAGCCTCGGCCTTCCTTTCCTTCTTTGGAAGAGATTTCTTTCTGCAGCACTCCCAGTCTGCTCCAGATTGGCGGGACAGCCCACATGCTCACACTCCCACTGTAATGTTAGATAAGAGCCCCAATTCAATCAGCCAACCATACAAAACCTTTCTGGGAGTGATAGAAGCACACAGGGAAATAACAGGTGAGACCTATTTGTGCTTCTCCTGGTCCCCAGTGTCCCAAATGGGAGTGGAGGGTTCAGCTACAGGGACACTGTTCACAAGAAGTGGGATCTGGCAAGATCTGGGAAACTCCCTTCTCTCTCTGGGCTACTGAGGTTTTCCCCCTCCTGGGCTTACGTCCCATTTGAGAAAACCTTACCCTAACAATGTGCTTCTACATAAGTGAAAATGTACTAACATTGACCTATTCTCGTTCTTTATCCAAGCCAAATATCACAAGGTCATACTACCTCAGGCCACACAAAAACATCACTACCTCAAGCGACATTTGAGCCTCAGCTCACCAGCAACCAAGAAAATCTATTTCCAGGATTGGAACACACCACGGAGTTAAGTCTATGAAAGGAACCAGAGGCCATGTGATGGGAAGAAAGCATTCCCCACCCGTCTTCTCTGTTCCCAACATCTCAGGGACAATCATTGCTAACGGGCTCTTGGGTATCCTTCCAGAGGCACACGAATGTGGCATACACATGAACACACATCTTACCACAGATGGACATGTACCATACACACTATTTGTGACTTTGCTTTTTTATTAACCTAGTGAATCTCAGAGAATATCTCCTATGTGTAGACAGACAAGTAAATATTCAATAGAGGGCTTCCTCTGGTTTCCACTAGTGGCCATTAGAATGTGTGAGATAGTTGAACCATCATCATCTGCTTTTACATGTGTGAGTTTTTCTGCAGTATTAATTCGTAGAGCATAATTGAAAAGTTGGCCAAGATTTTTTGGCCAGTATTATTTTTATTGATTTTTTTGAGAATGTTGTATCAGTTGAGACCCTCACCAGCAACAAACAGAAGAATTGGCTCCCTTCCATTTCTTTAGCAGAAACTTTAATTTATTTGGTCTGTCAATCAGTCAACAAACATTCAGAGAGCAACCACTCTATGACGTATACTATGCTAGACACTGGGGACGTCAAGTCTAATAGGACATTGACCCA